GAAGCAAGGAAATAGATTTTATGTCATGAGACAGTCGGACAACTTCCCCACAAGCATTTACCATGGTCATGAAGGGGTAGGATAATACAACCAATGAACATCTATGATTAAATAATGCATCGAAAGATGATACCTTAAAGCATACAAACCATTTACGAAAAATTAAAAGAATAGCCCACTCCCTAAAAGATCTACCTTTATAATCTTCTAGATTGAAGATTGCAGCAAACTCATCATTTTGGGCCTGCAGATGACAAACACACATTTTGAAAATGAGATATTTAAGCGCTAAGATCCATTTCCATTTATTTAGGAATATTATACAAGGAAAGGAATTTTCAAAACTCATAGCAAATACTATAGATGAATTTTCAATACATGAAATGACAGACAGGCGACAGCTCACTGGTAAGCAAACTGGCTTGATTTGACAAAGGCATTTCTTTTTTTCATTTTTTTTTAAGAAAAAGAATAACAGGGTAGTAGTATAGCATATATTTTCTCAGCAGAGCTTCCAATTGGTACGTTGATTACCAATTGCACACTCGAAACAGATGCTGGGAGGAAAAGGGAAATTGAAGAAATATGCATAAAGAAAGTCCAACAAAGATTAGAAAAGAAACGGACCTGGATTTGTAGCAATAATTGTTCTTGTGCCTCAATATTATGGGCAATGTCTTCACTTATATTATCATATTTAGATATCTCCTTCCTGAAAAGATCCTCATAGGAGCCGGTTGACGTCATCAACTTAGGAAGTATATCATCCTGAGGCCACATAAAAATAATAAGCACACAAAGCACTAAACTTAAGAACCAAGGCATCATTAACAATTGACAAAGCTGATCATGAATTGCTGATTGAACAAAAAAAAAATTCTCAAAAAGTTGCATCCAATATCAAATAATCAAATAATCAACGTACCTTTCTTTTCATCTCTTTAAGCATGTCTTCAAGACCAGCTCGTTGAGCACCAAGGGTTTCCAGTTGCCTCTGCATTGAGTACAGAAAGTTAAAAATGCAAAAATAACAAAACTAGTAATGGCCAAACCACTCATGTTAGAAGTTTAGAAAACAAGTTTAATCTATTCTCCAGTACAATGCAAAAGGAAAACTAGGTCTGAGTTTATACATATATATGCGCGTGTGTGCTGGGAGAGTACTTCATACAAGTAATCAAATTCAAACCACACAACATATGAAACTAACATTTAATAAAATTGATACAACAATATGCCTACATTCAGATAAATATGAGATGAACCACTACGCTGTCATGGGGTTATAATCGTTTTCTTTCAAATATTAAACTGATCCAAAAGCAATAAATCACTTGCATCAACTAAGTAATCAGGACAAATTTCACCACAATCAGACAGAGAGAAAAGAAAAGGCATGTCATAAGACATAAATCCATAAAACAGACAGGAATAACCATACAAGTTATCATGCAACCTTTATACAGACGAAGTAAAAAGGGGTGAAAAACTTACCAAGCTCTGCTTCAGGGCCCCCAAAATAGCATCTTCATTGGCATCCAAAGACATTATTGGCCTAGCCAGAGTTGGGAGGGCAGATTCAATCTGTGAGAAGAAAGAACATAAAACCATTTAGAAAGCCACAACACCGACATACAGGAGATACATGATTCAAATATACTAAGCCTGATTAACTTATGAACTTCCAGAGAGAGAGACGGACAGGAGGAAGATAATTAGGAGAACAAATAAGGAGCATGTCAATATGAAAGACTAAACATATTAAAATGAGAGGAGAAGAATAAATTAATGAAATCAAACAATTGTTGGTGGATTGGATTGTATTATTAACATTGGTTAAGAAACGAGGACAAACGAAAAACAAAAACACTTCCACCTATGATGGACAAACGTTCCATGTGCATATAAATTTTATTAAAATGAACAAGAATATAAAATCCAAAATGAAATAAATGAATTAAGACATATAAGAGGACACTTGGGAAACATGAAGAAGAAGAAGAGTTCCAAGAGAATTACCGGACGACGATCAAGGATTGACATGAGAGCTGAATGTTCTCGGACCGAGCGCTCGATCCGAGCATCACTATCTGCAGCTTGCTTCAAGTTGCCTGCAAACCTATTTAGCCTATCCTGTAAGTTCTTTGTCAGAGTACTTGACTGCGGCCTCGTCCACCGGGTTCCAAATTGGCTTCTAAACTGAGCATCTTCTCTGGCTTCTTTCTGCAAGAGTTCCTCAATATGTACCAAAATTTCCTGGTTTACTCTTTTCAAATCCCTAAGCTGCTGTAACTCAGCTTCCAAACCAGCAGGACCTCCACATAACTGCACTGCCTCCACATCTTCTTTAAGATCTGTAGGAAGAGTAAAATTCCCTTCCAAGGCAAGAATAGACTCCGGAAGGTCCATTTCCTTAAGCCTTACTCTGGTCAGTTCACTGGCTTGTTGTAACTTCTCTGCTTGTGTTCTGATAATGTCATCAACCATTTCAGTGTACCTAGAAAGAGCTTTTGCACTACTGTCTGGAACAAGACTGGCAAACATCTTCTCCTTGCTCGCATCCAGGACCTCGCTCATTGCCAAAGGCTTCACCATGGAAAATGCCGGAAGAGGTGGTAAGGAACCAAGGGAAGGAACCCTCATGAGATAAACTCTATCATTCTCCTTCACAGCCCTCTCCAGGTTACGGTTCAGATTGACCTCTAACTTGCTAATTGCGTCCAGAATCTGTGCAGCAGCCCCCTTTGTGTTTTTCTTAGCCTCAGACAAAGCACTGATCCCACTCTTTAACCGTGCAATTTCTTCTGCAATCTCATCTTTCTCATGCAACTCTAGACCATACCTATAGCAAGCTTCTGCATAAAAGAGAGCTGCCTTTAACTGCATGTGTGATATCCAGGCCCTGTCAAAATGCTGGTTCAAGGGCGGAGCATTACATGTCACTAAAGCTTCCTCGTAATACAGCCCAACCTGTAACCACATCAGTGTCAAATCAATTCATAACAAAATCAAGTGGGTCAGTAAAACTTGTATTGAAACATTATTTCTCCATTCAAGGAAAACCCGAAAACACAGTAGTCCAGAGGTAACTAAAAGTTAAGATTCCGAGAGTATTAATCAAACATAGTCTTTGGTTCAATATAATTTATATGGTATTTGATGAAAGCGAGGTAAAATCCACACTTGCAAACAGAATACCGAAAGCAATCAGCTTTCCAACAGCCATACGATCCATTTTCCTCTCTGCTACCACAACTTTTAAAATAAATGGCAAAATTAACATTTGCATAGCAGAATCACTTCACTCAAACACACCCACAGTTGCAGTTCAATCAATCAATCAATATTAAGTTCTACCTACACTATTAAAACCCAATCTGTAATCAATCAAACAAGCACAATACAATCCTCACCTGCCTCGAGATCTTGGCGCAAACACCCGGCGTGCTCCCTTTGGCAATCGTATTCTCAAAGACGCACTCTTGGGCCTGAGCCAGGATCAGCCTCTCCAGCATCCCAGCGCACTCCACCGACAAATCCACCGTCGTGGAGCTCCCAATCGACGCCTTGGTCGCCGCATTGTCCCTCAGAAATGCGAATGCCCCAGCCGCCGCAATAAACGCGTGCGACGCCTGCCGTCGACCATCGACGGTCGTGCGATCGTAGGAGAGCCCAATCTGACTGTACACGGCCCCCAAATTGAACAAAACGGCGGCCTTTTCCAGGTGGATGTTCTGCTGGGAAGCCTTCTGCTTGTTCTTGAAGGCGTCGTGCCAGACGAAGGTGACGGTGTTGATGTGATCCTTGTCCGGCGAGATGGGGAAGCGGGTCTCGACGAGGCAGAGGGTTTTAAAGTAATTTTGGAGCAGGTCGCGGCGGGTGGTGAGCGATGGGTCGGGTTGGCGCTCGACGTCGGAGCGAAGCTGTTTGACGGTTTGGAGGTCGTCTTCGAGGTTCTGGGCTTCGCGCTCGGAGTAGTTGAAGGCGATGTAATTGCGGAGAGGGCGGTAGAGGTCGATTTGGGTCGTCTTCTTCTCGAAGATTGCGAGCATGACGTGGGTGGCGGTACCGGAGGCGGAAGACGCCATCTTTGGGTTTTGGATTTGATCGGAATCGAAATTCTAAGAAAAAATTGAAGAAGAAGAGAGAGTTGGGAGTTTTAACGAGTGAAATTGACCAGGTCAGTCTGCCTTGTGCGGAGTTGTTTTTCTTTTTCTTCTTCACAAAGCAAACTAGAAATATAGAAATTTCCTTTCCGGTGTTTTTCGGTTGGGAGCTAATTACAAATTCGTATTTCACACATTTTATTTTAGGTTCAATTTTCATACCATACAATGGTCAATTTAATTGAATTTGTTATTCACAATATTCGAATATAAACCTCTCACTTTTAAACGAAAAAGAATACCATCACACTGTAGTATATGGTGGTTTCTCTGTTGCTATTTACGTTCCTTTTGGGTGCGTTTGGTACGCAGACGGGACGGGACGGGACGGAACGAAGGTGTAATTTTTTAAAAAGATATGGGTATATTTGTCTTAAAATGGTAAAACATTGTGTTCCACAGACGTGGAACAAACCCGTTCCGGGGGGGGCAAGTGGGATGCAAAAACACTCAAAATCTGTCCCGTGGAACAGCCCGTTCCACCCATTTTTGACGCACCAAACGCGGGACGGAACGCCTCGTCCTGTCTCGTCCCACGTACCAAACGCACATCGTTTGGTATGCAGGGACGGGACGGAACGAAATGGGACGGGACGGGATGGGACAGGATGAGACGGAACAGAAAGAGAGCAAAGATGTTCTCGGATGGAAACAAGGTGGAAGAAGAAGGAGACAGAGAGGTTATAATTTTGTGTTCTACGGATGTGGAACGAGTCGTTCCAGGAGATGAGCTGGAACGAAAATTCACTTAAAATTTATCACGTGCAACAGCACGTTCCACCCGTTTTAAGCGCACCAAACGTGGAACGGAAGACATCGCCCCACTCCGTTCCGTCTCGTCTCACCAAACGGTAATAGTGGGGCATTATCGTCCTTTTACCCGAGTAATAAGAGTGGTGTGCCCTGTGCTGTGACGTGTGCGTCCCTCTCTATTTATACATCCCCAATCAACAACGCCCAACGCGTAGACGCTTCTGGAAAGCTAAAAGTCAAGCCCTGTCTGTCTCTCTCATCTCTCATGTACGTCACCGCTGCTAATCCTATTAACTAGTTCAGTCAATTGTCAATTTAGGGTTTTTTCTTTGTTTCATTGACTGCCTTCAACTGTTATCTATCGTAAAATTTGGGGTTTTGATCCTAAAGTTTCTGTCTTTGAATGTTTAGCGGGTCTCTGGGTTTGAGATTTTTTTTGTTTAATTAATCATGAGGGGACTGTATATGTGTTCATTCTGGAGTTTCTGTTTGGTTACTGAGAAAAAGAAAAACTTTAGTTAGCGAAAGTAAATTGCGCGCTCTTAAATGTTTCAATTCATCGTGATGCGAAGCATTGGATTTTTTATTTGGGTTTTTGTTAATTTGAAGATTGATGCTGCGAAAATTAGATAACCGGCCTCATTAAGTCTCAAATTTTTGTGCTCGCAAGTATACGAGTCAAATGATAGGATAGCATTGAAGCACATATATCGTCCCACAGAAATCGAATTGATTCTAATAGTCTTACTAACTAAATTGAAACACATTATAATTGAGAAGTTCTAACGAAAAAGATAGAAGATTTTGCATAAACTGAAACAAAATAAAGCTCGAAAATAAAATGCATGTAAATAATAAAATGAAAACATAAGAAAACAAGACCTAGGGTATCCGAATTCACCATAACGAATTCTACTTAATTTCCTTAATATGTTATGCTCAAGTAGTTCTTCAATATTAATGATCGATTTTTTCTAAATTATTCAATGGTCATGGCATCCTTACATGTTAACCCTCAATGGCATCTAGATGAATTTAAACAAGTAAGGACCCATTAAGCTTTATAGAAATTGTTGGAAAATAACACAAACCCTAATTCCATGGCATCTACCAATAGGTGTTTATGGTATCAATTACAAGAAGCTAAACCCAAGTTAAGTAAGAAATCTACTCTAACTTGCATCAAATCAACTTAACTAAAACTTAGATGGTGATCAAGCATCTAAATAAAAATCAAGCGCATTACGAATAGCATAAGATATTCAATAAGGAAGAAAAACTTGATAATAACAATGCCACAAGGCAATTAAGTATTCATGATTAGGCTACATCGTAGCCTAGAAAAACTATAAACTTCTCTTCCTCTTCCCTTCTTTGCCGCAGCCCCTCTAAAGTGTGATATATTATGGTAGCTTTTTTCTCAAAAGGAGAATGAGTCTCCTTTATTAACACCCACGGCAAACATTGGAAATACCAAGTAGAAATGGTCAAATAAATGACCACTAATCCTACCTCTAATGGACTTTGAAGTCCTTGTTAAACAAAATGAAAAATAAACGAAAATAATAAAAACTAGTAATTATGTCTCCCCTAAAAGCCATTGAATAGCATTCCCATGTCCCTTTGTTCGCCAATACCGTTGCTTCTTCTTTTTACTGTAATGCATGTCGTTGTACAGAAGTAGACTCTTGCCCAATTGGAATTTTACTCTAGACATCCGAAAAAGCTTGTTTTCCATTCCTTTTTGCATAACTCGGTATTGAATGCCTATAAAATAAGACAATAGATTTTAGTGCATTTAACCCATTCATATAGACAAAATCCAAAGGAAATATATGATAATAATATATGAAAATATGACCACATCAATTGAGTAATTGGTTTTTGACATTTGACAAAAAGGCATTACCTTGCAGGGTAGTTTGGAAGAAGAGCTGCAGCTTTGTGCTTTTGACGCTGGACTTTTGGTCTGTAGAGCTGTGGTTTGCTCCAGATAAGGTAAGAAATCCGAATTGAATTTCCGGAGTTCCGTTTCTTTTGTGATGTGAGAATTTTCATTCTTTATGTTGTGGAATGGTTTTGTTTTGATTGTGAACTTGGGTCGCTAATGAGTTACAGATTAACCTAGTATAGGACCTGATTCAGGATGTTTCGTTTACCGGGTTTTGTGGAATACAATTCACTTTATTTGTTGGTTGGAATTTTTACATGGAAGGGGACCATTATGATTAGGATTCTTTTCTGTAAGCTCATTAGGTGATTTTCCGTATCGGATTGACATGCGTTTAGTATTTGTCTTCTTTATGTGTGATGCTAAGAAGTATGTGATTTGTGTTTGAAAGAGACTATAGTTAAGGAACTAACATTTTTGTTTCTCTTGTTTGAGATGCACTTCCGGTCATCATCGTACCAACATGCAGATATTGTGCTGGTTTTTATATCTAAATGGATGCAACTGGTTGAGGAGAAAAAGAAACGAGCCTGGGAGAAGAAAGAAGCCCCGCTGAAGTGGGAGCAGAAACTAGAAGCTGCTGCAAAGGCAAAAGCCGATGCCGAAGCCAAAGAGAGGAAGTTGAAATCTTCAAAGCACAAGAGAAGATCTGTGTCAGAGTCTGATAGCAATAGCGACACTGACAGAAGTGATGGGAGAAGAAAGTCAAGTAAAAGAACTCACAAGAAGCACGGGAATCACTCTCACTCTGATGCAAATGACAGTGAAGTGAGGAAGGAGAAGAAATCCAAGCGAAAGCTAAAGAAACATTCCTCAGGCTCAAGTGATGATAGCAGTGATGAGTATGAGAGTGATTACGACGAAGATAGGAAGAGGAAGAAGAGAAGCCATAAAAAGCACAGGCATCATGATTCTAGATCAGATTCTGGTCCCGATTCTTCCAGTGATGATGAGTATGATACAGTGAAGGGAAGTCATTCGAGGCACCACAAGCACCATCAGAGGTCAGACTCAGAATCTTCTGGTTCTTATAGTGATGAAGACGAGTGAAGAACCCGAAGGGGTCGTGCCAAGCACCACAAACGCCAGAGACATTTGAGATCCGTTTCCCCCGAGTCTAGTTATGAGGATGGTGAGGTTAGAAGGAAAGGGTATGCAAAACACCATCCACGTCATAGGCGATCACGACCGCGTAGCGTTGATTCAAGATCATCAGAGTCTGATTCCCACAAACGTGACAGAAGGAGCAGATCTGTGGGGAAGTCATCGGATGACAACCGTGATGAGGCTGACAAACAGTTGAAGCACAGGAGAAGTGGCCAGCATAGCCATCATCATCACAAGCATCGTCACCACGATTCAGAAGAGAGAAAAGATCACCATCCTCGGGGTTCAACTGAGCCCAACGGAAAGCACTTAGAAGATGCTAGAGGAAAAACAGGTGAATGACAGATCTTTAATATGCGGGTTATTGCTTTGACCGGATTGGTCTTCTTTGCCTTCAATTCTTGATTGCAGAGAGGGACCTCCCTCCTCTAAGCATTGCATTCTCGGTTGCCTGCATTTGTACCTAAACTTGCTACTTAAATTCAGATGCCTTTCCCTTGCTTAATTTGTTCCAATTATGCATGATTGATTAGAGATAACGCAGCATAAGCATCTTGTAACAATCATTATTGTCTATTTACCGCTCACTCCGTTGATACGAAATTTGACTATAAATAAATAAAAACTAATGAAAAGAACTTGAAAATTTTGAGTTTAAACGATAAGAACAAAATAAAGGGTAAAATGAATAATACCAGGTTGACTTTTTAATGTAAAATTGTGGTTTTTCGTTAAAATAAACAGTAACGAAAGTTTTTCGTTAAAATTTCCTAAAAATAATGTACTTGAGAGTCGATTTTATAATTTAACTGCCGAGATAATTACCAGTTTGAAAATACAAATTACAAATATGTCAGAATCTCCCAAAATTGTTTTTATTTTGGTTTTTCCAAGCTGGGACAATTTATCCTCAGCAGTGGGGAACAAATCAAATACTGTTCATTCAGTAAAGATACAACAATTTAATTTTGATAGATTAGTCAGAAATTCTTCAGTATGTTTTCAGTTGATACACCATCTGCTACAAGAATTGAGGTAACCTCCTGCAAAGAAAAATCATCTAAAAAATGTCACGTCCCCGTAGAAATTCGATCGTGCTCGAAATAGAAGCGATGATGCTCATGTTAATAGCCAGAATTAGCATTCAAACTTTTCCACAGAGACAGGCATCACAACTAAATGAAGTGGCATTTATTTGAAACATGAGACCCCTCCCTTGCTGGGGTTAGTCTTTTTATCTAAGATTTCTCTTCACGTGTAATCCTCCAAGGTAAGAAAAATTCTGTAGGTGGTGGACGAAGTCTAGCCACCCCAGATAAGGGCAGGCCACTTTTTGGTAACAACGGGGGAAAAGAACCCTAAACAACCTAACTCAACTCAGCATAACGCAACTTAGAAAGACAAGGGACATCAACCATTAGAGCTACACCAATCCAAGGAGGACTAATGAACACATGGCAACCAGGCCATTTTAATATCACAAATGGTGACTAAATCTATTACGGCCCAGAAGACGAACCTCTTTTCAGTAAAGAAACATAAGACGAGAAAATTAGCAGCTGCCAATAGATGTACTATAGTGAAGGATGGCAATCCCACAGAAACTAGGACCAAAATTGGTTTCGTAATCAGCAAATGCTTCTAAGCAGATGAGATATAGTTAGACTGAGGACAAGCTCATATCTTTTTTTTTGTTTAATTTTCGCACAAAAAAAAGGTGTCGAATACATTCATGAATAGATAGTGACCTCAACATCATCTACTGCAGAAATCTTCCCTCCAACATGCGCCTTACAGCTTTGCTTCTTTCAGTAAAATGGCTTGGTCCAAGACCATTGAAGTGTGCAGCATTTTCGGTTATCTTTACTACTTACACGAGTTTAGAACCCTAGAACAAAATTCGTTTTTATGCAGAACCCTAGAGGCCAAATACAATCGGCCCTCCGTGAAGACTATAATAGGTGGTCTTATAACAAATTATTTGCACCTAGTAAACACGACAGTGGTAGCACCTTGTCTGGTGCAGATCAAGACTCAGAATATGAAGTTGTCTTATATCAAAGTTATATATTCACAGAACAATATCAATCTTCAAGCCCATGTTCGACATTGAACATGGAAAAAGACAAGAGGGATTCAGCCGGTCCGGCCATAACCAAACTTGAAAATCGACATTCAGCCGATTATAAGTTTTCATTACCATGTAGCCACAAGATCTCATCTAATACGAACCCAAAAGATGCTTAGAAAATATTCAATAAACAAGTAGACACACACTTGAAATATAACAATAACAAACGTAACGAATGCAAACTAATAAATGTGAATCGGACAGAAAGGATACCTCAGTCATCTGCTTCTGCCCACATAAAACAGCAGCTGTAGAGGGAGGGTTATCAATTTGCTTGGCTCTGGAAAAGGCAGCCTGAAAATGTATAACCACAGAAGGCATTAACTTCGTACGCAGAAGTGGAAACACTTGGAATAAAACTTAGGGCGCATGGGGTGAAGGTCTACCTGCACATAGCCGCTTTGTCCCGTCCAACCGCCGTGGGGTTGTGATAGTACCGGCACAATCTCAACACCTGAAGATTCCCAGTCCTTAAATCTATCCTGTTAGAAATTAGACAATCAAGTAGCGGAATTAATCAAAGTCATAAATTGAATTGGGGAAATGAAAATAAATAAATAAACAGAGTCAATACCTGATACGCCATTCTGTCAAGGTTTCTGGCGCCATAAAATAGCTTAACGGCGGATCTCTTATCGGCGCTAAACCCCGATTCGATCAGAGACCGGATTGGACTGCACATATTCAAGAGCTGTGTCATGTCAAATTGCTTGTAACACTCGATTAAATTCACTTGAATTCGATTTTTTCTACTTTTACGAACCTGATTCCAGATCCCGTGGCGAAAATTAGAACCGTAGGGTAATTTTCCGGCGGTTCGATCCGTTCAACGTCGAAGCCTTTTCCCATGACCTGGCTGAGCTCCACCACGGCCCCTCTCTTGAGCCCGCACAGAAGCTCCGCCGTGGACCCGGCCACGCTCTTCACCAAAAACTCAAACACCCCTTTTGTGGACGCCAACGATGGCGGCGACGCGATGGCCAGAAACGAGGGCTTCGACTCGTCCGGGACGCGAAGCTGGAGGTACTGGCCGGCTCGCGTGTGGGACGAGGCGAGGTCGGGGGCGTCGGACAGGTCGACGCGGACGTGGAAGAGCGACTCGGCGGCCGGTTCTATCTCGGAGAGCGGGGCGGGGGTCCAGAGGGCGGTGTCTTGGCGTACGGCGGCGGCGACGGTGGCGAAGCGGTGGCGGCGTAGTTTTAGGTGGTGGGGGTTGAGGCGGCGTAGGATAGACATGGGGTGGAGGGGGGAGCTAAGGTGCGCATGGGAGTGGAGGGTGACCGATGCGGGTTGGAAGATTGCGAGTGACATGGCTGTTGGGTTTGGGCTTGAGACGGTTTTATGTTGTGGCCGGGGGGGGTTGTAGGGGTGCGGAGGGCGGCGCCGAAGCTGATGATCAATTAACACGAAGACTCTAGCGATGTGGGTTGAGGTTAGACTGGTAATTGGATAGCCGCGAGTCCACGTGGCATGGTTTTGTTAGATCCTGGACATGTGGAGGATAACTGATCAAGCAGATGATCGAAGCCATTGGTTGTAAAGTAATTTACATGAAACGTAATGAGGTCCCGACTCAGTAATACAACGTTAAATATCTTTCGTGCAATCTTCCTTTTAACACTGCATCGACAACGACGACAACAACAACAAAATTTTATTCTATTAAAAGAAGTCTGCTGTATAAATTATAAGTAACATTACGCTTAATTTTGCGTTATATCTTCTGTTATTTCCAAGTATTTCATTTTTTTTTTTAGTCTCTTACCAAATCTTTCTTTTATCTTGTCTGCCTCTCATGCTTTGAGCCTATGATAATCTAATCGAAGCCTTTGTAGTTCTTTGGTTTACATATTTCTGATTCTCTCATCGTATCTTTAATTGCAACCACTTCTACGTTCTTAGTTCTATTGTTTCTTGTGTGCCCACAAATCCAACTAAGATTCTCATCTCCGCTACACTGAATGAACAAATTTCTTCTTTTAATTTTGCGATCAAGGATGGAAGAAAGGGCATCCGAGTTCAATGATATCCTCGACTGTAACATTCAAATAATATCCCGCGACGGTAACGCAATAGCTTTAGAGCAGCTACTCAACAAAAAGACGTACATATGAAGTGAAGACGAGCAAATTCGAAAACAAGGCATGGTCTCCAACTATCAAGTAATTAACATGAAAAAGTGGGTTTATGACTTTAACAATCATCGGTGCACCAGAATTCAAATGTTTTAAATTTGAAAAGGAACAAAATACAATATACACGCGGTCGTCCTCTTTGTTTTCCTTCCCCTTATTGAACAACAAGAAGAAAAAAAAGGGGATCGGCCCATTGACACCATTTCTCTCTCACTCCGATGCAATAAGCTTAAATCTGAAATGCGAAGTGCTCATACAGTTTTGTCTCAAAAATGAAAATCCTGTTCGCTTGGCAATGCCAGCTGCATCTAAGATTATTTGGGTTTTTCGCAATTATCAAACATAAAACAACAGAAAAGATGATTAAGCAGCGGACTCCTTGGAAATCTTCTCTGCCTTGGCAATGACCTCCTCAATACCTCCAACCATGTAGAACGATTGTTCTGGAAGGTCATCGTACTTTCCGTCCAACACACTCTGTCAACAAAATTACAAAAACAATTATACGAATTGAGCTCATAAGTATTCGTATCATTATTCTAAAAGCATCTTATTTAAGCTTTGGTAATGTTCCTGAGTGCAAAATGATGGATGCATTCATGAAAACAAACAAATTACTCGCTTTCAATTGATCGTGAACTGATAGCCAAAAGGTACAAACTACATCTCACCATTACGCAGTCATAAACAAAATGATTATCGAGATAATAAATTATTATACCAGATCTTGATGGAATTTTGCTAACCTCACCCTACTCTTACAGATTGATTCTCATGTTACTACTTAGTTTGAGTAAAAATCAATCAACAAATTGAACTACAATGCAATTTGAGGAGCAGATGCATTTTTCCTGAATCTATCAGGACAGACTAATATTAAGTAATCAATCTTTGTCTATGAGAAAACCTCCTTAAATTGTAAGCAGGTAACTGAGATGATAATAGAAAGAACTTCAGTGTGAAATATATGGAGACATGCAGAATGGAGATTGAGAGAGAGAGAGAGAGAGAGAGAGAGAGAGAGAGAGAGAGAGAGAGAGAGAGGAGGGAGAGGGGGTACCTGGAAGGAGGTAATGCTTTCTTTCAACTCCACGTACTTCCCAGGGGCACCCGTGAAAACTTCTGCAACGTGGAACGGCTGACTCAAGAACCGTGAAATCTTACGAGCACGGGCTACAGTCAACTTATCATCTTCACTGAGCTCGTCCATCCCCAAAATAGCAATAATATCTTGCAAAT